GTTTGTGTGAAGTTACCACACTTGTCTTATTGTACTATGGTAAAACGGACTACGGCTGTCGGGTGTGTAGTTCGTAATAGTTTTAGCAGAGACTTTGTTGCCTCTGAGGTGTATTTGTTCTGCGTTTCGTAATTGAGTAAGCAAATTGCTGAATATTCCCTATAGATGTGAACAGAAAGTTCGTTCCATTATTCACAAATTTGCAACAATTTCAATGACATAAAAATAGTTTATACAGGAGAATTTATACAGGTTGGAGCCTAAACTAGGATACCTGTCCACCTCCAGAAGACCTGATCAATAATTTATAAATATTGATCAGATCTTCTGGTGGTGGAGGCTTGGTGAACTGAAACACAGCGTATCCTAATTTAGGCTCTAGCCTCAACAAATAATCCTGTACACACTACTTTTATGTCTAACGTTCGTATATAAATGTGGAAGCGTAACGCTTCGTGCGAATCTTCGGAATATCCACAACATAGAGGTGGAACCCAAGTCTACGCCTAGTCCCCCGGTGATGGAAAGGGTAAAGCGGAACTAAATCGTGTAATTCCATCGCACACTCTCCATGATATATCCTGTAAAATACCGATAAGCTGGCAACTTTACTGTGGTGTTCAAGGCTCTGTAGCTTCGCCTCCACTAATTCCGAGCCACCTATAAGCTTCTTGGCATGGTTGTCAACTGAATCAAAGGTAGCCAGTTGATAGGTAACAGAGTCATCCTAAAGGTGGCAATAGTACTCCATACACGACCGGACTTGTGCTTAGTACAGCTGAAGCAACTGTGCCTATCTACCGACCCGAGATGTCCCTATCTACCGACTCGAGAGATAGGGTTTTCCGGAGAGACTACTGGTTCGACGGCAAGACCAGGGTACAGCGGGCATCCGGGCCAAGCCCTCCGCCAGTGATACGCCTTTGCAAGGGCGTCTCTGACGGACCCGGACTTGGGTATGGACTCGCTGGGCTTTGTGGTTAGCTGCAGAGACGGACATGTTTGTCTGCCCCGGTTGCATGTGTCCGGGGCGTCTGTCTGGTGAGTAGCTAGCGCGTCTTAGTAGCGGTCTAGTTGAGGGTCTGTATGCGAGGAGATGCGCGGGGCACGTGAGTTGCCCTTTAAATTGGAAACTATGTCCGGATATTGTCGAAGGACACTGCGACTGGCATCACCGACACTAGCTCGGAGAGCTAGTAGAGGATAAGCGAGATATCCTCCGGTCCCTCCAGCCGCTTAGGTTATTGGGAACTGGTAAGACGTCGTTTTTCGGCGTCGGGAAGTGAGCGTACCTTACAGCTCCGCCACCAATGAGGAGATTCGTAGTGGACTCAGAGTCAACGGCTTAGCGGTGGCAACTGCTAGTTGTGCAATGCGCAACGGGAAGTGAGCGTGCCTACAGCTCCGGTACCTATCTCAAAAATAGGGAGGGTACTGTATGTGCACCCGGGGTGGCTCTCCCGAAGCACTAGCCTCTCGAAGAACCGGATGAAGTCAAGTGACAGAGGTCTGTGAGAACCCTGTACACTGGCTGATCTGGGATCAGAACCTGAACTTGTAAGGTTCCTGTGCGCGCGCAGGTTATAGTGTACTTATGCCGTATGCCTTAAAGGTAGGTAGGCAGGGTTACTATAATCAAAACTAACGTAGTAAGATATGGTGCTTGTCCCGGTGTGAAGTAACGACTCACCCTGGAAAGGATCCCAAGCTTCCTTGCTGCACGTTTGGCCATGGATTCAATGTATCTGCCGAAGTACAAATTGGACGACTGGTCCATTCCAAGTAGCTGGAGACAATCGGTTATCGTTATCTCTTTTTGGCGTATGCCAATTGGCGCCATAGTGCAGCCAGCCTGAGGTAAGCTTAGATCCAGACGCGAACTCTTTGCAAAGAGTGAGGCAAAAAGATTTGTCTTGTCATCTGCAGTATAGGCCAGCGTGCCGTCCGGCCTCAGCAGAGGTGACATAGATAGGCAACAAAAGTGATTTTATATTTAAAGGTGTTTTGTTTAAAAAATTAATTTGTCAATTTCTGGCGTCGCCATTTCCACTACGCATACACAATAAGGAAGCGTGCGCGTACGTACAATCGGAGCACCTGATCGAACTGATAAAAATTTGATTACTATAGAAAATACGTTATTTTATTTTTTCCTTTCAAAAACTATTTGTATAACGGTTTTTGTAAAAACAAACACCGATATACAAATTCGTTTTAGGGTCGCGCTCGCGCCGCCGAAACGCCGCCGCCGCCACTTTTTGTCGGCGCACCGCCGCCACTATAAAGTTGAGGCTAATTACATCATATTATAATCAATGCAAATACACAACCTATGCAGTGCACTGTACAAAACGATGTCACAAGAAACATTATATAACCTTTACATAATAAATACTCGGTGAGCTCTCCGTGACTTACATACATGGTGCGGTTTGTATTGTGATAGTACGTTGGGGTCATTTTCCTTTGAAGAAAGTTTTTCATAGTATACTGTTTTTCCTTATTGCAGCTGGGGAATGTAAGCTTAAATTTGTATGTACAGGAAAGAGCATACATACATAAGTACACATCCCGAAAAAGAAAAATACAGTACTAGCCATAATCATAATAGTAATTTATGCAATCGTTGCATAATAAGGGTTAAGGTCTCGTGGTCTAAGTAATAGTTACGAAATATTAAGACATAATTATGTTCTACGAGTAAATTAAAATAACGAAACACAACCAATATTTAAAGATTATTTTGTTAACAATCCACGACAACAAAATGAAAGCCAAACAAACGCTACAAAACAAAAAACCAAAGAAATAGTACAAAAGTGTCCGTGATTGGCCAAGTACCGCTTATATTTTAACCAATCAGGAGTCAGTATAGCGTTTGAGTAGCGTCATACTTGATATTTTACATTGTTTTTAAAATCGTTCTTTTTTGCAAAATGGTTACGCCTTTGTACCGTTGTACATTTTGAGATATTATTTAAAATAATTAGAATTTTAATAATTTCACAAATATAGTGACGTTATTCGGGAACACAGTGGCGCGTTTAAAGAGACAGCAAAAAGACGATGTTCTTTAGTTAGCTCAGTAGCGAGTACGATAGATAATTGAAGAACTCAAAAGAGCGCCTTTGTAAATTGGTTTATGCTTAGACTATTATTTTTTCTATCCTCTAAGGGTTTATGAAATTATAATTGACAGATTATTACAGGAGTAGAAAAAAGATTTTATTCGCATTCGGTCGGTACTATTCCCAGATGAGACAGGCAGCTTTTGAAAAATCTTTGAATGCTGTATTACTTACTATGCATTATTTACTTTTGTTATTTTTATTTACTTTCCCTCCTATAATAAAATAACTACGCATCCTAAAATAACTTTATAACATTAATATTGTGCAAAATCCTGTGTTTTAACTTTATTTAACTCTGGATAGTTTCAAAACTTAGTCAAGACTTAATAAAGTCCATGATTAAATGTTTCACCACACGATTAACTGTTCTCTGCCTTGAAACGATTGCGCAGACTACACCGTTATAATGTTTACACAGAACCGAATTCATACGACAGACGAAAATTACGTCCAAATTGTGCATTTGTAAAAACTGATATTGTATCGCGAGATAGCATCCCCATTTAGTCGATATTCCCTTCAGTGGTACTAAGTGCCTTCATCATCTTTTATTCATAGCCCAGGAATGGAATTCCCTGCCTGCGACTGTATTTCCGAGCACATACAACTCGAGTATCTTCAAAGTGCGACTAAATAGGCATCGTCTCGGCGAGCTTGTAGACCCTAACTTTGCTCCAAAGCTAGATAGTGGTCAGAGGAAGTCCACTTACTTTAAAAATATATATATATATATATATAGATGAATTATACGTTAGTAGTAGAAGTCCCACTACTGAGCACGGGTCTCCTCAAAGAAGCCTCCCAGACTGACCCAGATTGAGGATTTCATACATTTTTTACGGGTTGTATACCTTCTTCAAAATGCTTTTCATGATGTATTCGTTTACTGTTAGCGAGAGGTATGGGCTACTAAACATTCACAAACTTACGAATTGAAGTCATACATACAAGCAGCCATAAGGCCGCTGAAATTACGTCCACTATGGACGTGACTAGTTGTATCTAATTTATGTAATTGTAAAAATTTAATGCTTGTCAAATACGATAGCTGGTGGTCGTATAGTATTGAAACTTTTTGATTTTTGTGAGTTGTTATTTGTATTTTGTATCGTACCCTTGGTATAATAAAAACAGTTATGATCGTTACATCAAAGGTGCTTTTATCACATGTCACAGGTTATAAAAAGAATACGAACGCATAAAAAAGTTATCGATAAATTTCGTCCTTAGAATCTTGAAACATCTCTCTAGAGAAGTTGTCATTTTCAGATGTGGCGGTATTACAACAAATGGTGTGGTATTAGTCTCTCATTAATTAGTATGAAACCGTGATGATAAATCAGACTTCTTGGTAAGAACTTGGAAATATACCTACTTAAAAAGAATTTTCAAAATCGGTCGACAATTGATGGAGAAACCGGTCAATACACTGACATGCCTTTAAAATTTGACGATTTCCCTCGATTCCCATATCTACACAAATGAAACACACTAGAAAGTAAACACTTCATAAGAACGGAACTCTATTAAACGCGGTGGCAGTAACTCGGTATAATCTTCAAGTCGCGGTAGTCATTCGCTACGACCTTGTAATACTTTCTAGAACCAGACTTGGCTGACTCGTGGATTAATTTTAGGAAAGTTGATCGACCACACATATGAGATATTTCCTTTTTAATTGACGATACAAAACGAATTTTGTTCAATGACCGCAACCTTTTTTACAAACTCTTTTGCCATTGTTGTATTATTAATGTATCCTTTAAGAGTTGTTACTGGTTTCTTGTTAGGTGAAATTAATTTCTACACACGTAAAACAATTGTTTTCTTAATTTATTTTATTTTCTGATTCCCTCTTTTTAATTCCAGGTCCCAATAATGCACGACTGATCCATCGTCCATAATGGCGATCCTAACGGCGGTCACAGCAGCCACCAAGTCCGCTCTGACCATCGCTGGCATCAGCAAATTAACTTTTATCCCGGTCATGCTGGCTGCAATGGCTTACTTTAACTACGAATTACTAGACCCTGAAAGTCGTCCTTTCAACCAAAAATATCTAAGAGAAGAATATGACTTTGTCATTGTTGGTGGAGGATCTGCGGGATCTGTTCTAGCAAACCGATTGAGTGAAATTGAGGGATGGAATGTCTTGCTTTTGGAAGCTGGAGGACATGAAACAGATATCAGTGATGTTCCATTACTGTCTTTGTATCTTCATAGGAGTAAAATGGATTGGAAGTATCGGTAAGTTCGGCTCACTTTATTGTAACACCAAAAAAAAATGCGTAACGTTCAATTTAATAATAAATAGATAAATAAATATTTGGCAACATCACATACGTTACACTGATCTCAAAGTAAATAACTAAAGCACTTATGGAAATCGGAAGCAACGACGGCACCATAAACACGAAGACCCGAAATAATTGTAGAAAAGCTAGTTTTCTATATTGACCCCTTCCGGGTCGAACCTGGGACTTAAGAGATGACGACACCACCGAAACCGGTGCGCAAGCCACTAGATCATGGAGATCGTTATGGTAACGGTACACCACATGTGTATGTGTTTATCTGAAATATTTATGTTTCATTTTTTTCTTGTTCTATGAATATCAGGATATAAACTAACATTTAACACAGATATACAGGAGTTTTGCTTTTTTGATTACGTTTATTATGCAATGCACTCTAACATACAAAGTGTTACAGGATGTTAGACTCAGCAAAATATTCAGTTTTCTGCACGAAATTAATTAAATTATATTGCGTTTGGAACTTATAGAATGCTCTGAAATACACTTAGTATATGGAAAATAGTTCCTTCTTTCAATAATTTGAAAAACATATATTTTTGTAACATTTCAGTACTCAGCCTCAAGATTCCGCCTGCCAAGCTATGGTCGACAAGCGTTGCAGTTGGACCAAAGGCAAAGTTCTAGGAGGATCTTCTGTTCTCAATACGATGCTCTATATCAGAGGAAATCGACGGGACTTCGACCAATGGGAGTCGTTTGGCAACACTGGATGGGGATACGATGACATCTTACCTTACTTTAAGAAGTCACAAGACCAAAGAAATCCTTACTTAGCTAAAAATACAAAATATCACAGTACAGGTAAGGGTTATTTTTTTAAGTAATTATTTGTTTCGAGATATATTGAAATATTTACCAATTTAATAACAATGTTGACTTAGGTGTCGAGACACAGGGCATGGAGTGAAAGTGCCAGGGCAAGTTTCGATCAAATTAAAAAAACGAAAATTTTTATATATATATTAAACAGAATATTCCAGATCAATTTGGCTTTGTATTATGCATAATACAGATCATTCATTTGTTTAACATCAACTAATCGGTGTGATAATGGAATTTAAAAAAGAGATCAAAGTAAGATCAAAGACTAAAGAATCATTTTCTGAATTTCAGGTGGTTTTTTGACCGTGCAAGACGCTCCATACAACACGCCTATTGGCGCAGCTTTTATACAAGCTGGCGAAGAAATGGGCTATGACGTTCTCGACGTTAACGGCGAAAAGCAAACCGGTTACGCTTGGTACCAGTTCACCATGCGAAGAGGGACTAGGTGCTCAACAGCTAAAGCCTTTTTAAGGCCTGTGAGACTTCGGCAGAACCTTCACGTCGCTCTTTTTTCACATGTCACCAAAGTGCTCATAGACAAAGAAAGCAAACGAGCTTTCGGAGTTGAATTTTTGCGATATGGAGAACATCAAATTGTATATGCTAAGAGAGAAGTGATACTTGCAGCCGGATCGATTGGTTCACCACAGTTGCTTATGCTTTCTGGAGTTGGACCAGACGAACATTTGAAAGAAGTTGGCATAGAAACCATTCACAATTCTCCTGGAGTAGGAAAAAATCTTCAAGATCATATCGCTATAGGCGGACTTGTCTTTCGTATAGATTATCCCATTAGTTTGGTGATGAACAGACTAGTTAATATTAATTCTGCTCTACGTTACGCAGTCACTGAAGACGGTCCGTTGACTTCAAGTATAGGTTTAGAAGTTGTTGCTTTCATAAATACGAAATATGCAAATGCTTCAGATGATTGGCCGGATATTGAATTCATGATGACGTCGGCCTCTACTCCTTCTGATGGTGGGACTCAAGTCAAAAGAGCTCATGGTCTTACAGACGAATTCTACAATGAAGTATTTGGAGAAATAACTAATACGGATGTCTTTGGCATATTTCCTATGATGTTGCGTCCCAAAAGCAGAGGTTTCATCAAACTGCGATCGAAGAATCCTTTAGACTATCCGATAATGATTCATAATTACTTAACGCACCCTGATGATGTAGGAGTATTGAGAGAAGGGGTTAAAGCTGCTGTAGCTGTTGCAGAGACGAAGGCAATGAAAAGATTGGGAGCCAGATTCCATGATAAACCTTTACCGAATTGCAAGCATCTTCCATTGTACACAGATGAATATTGGGATTGCCTGATTCGTCAGTATACTATGACTATATACCATGTTTCGTGTACAGCGAAGATGGGGCCTGAAAGTGATCCAATGGCGGTAGTAGATCCTCAATTACGAGTGTATGGTATAGAAGGTCTTAGAGTTATAGACGCTAGTATAATGCCCACTATTACGAACGGTAATATCAACGCTCCTACTATCATGATAGCTGAGAAAGGAGCAGATATGATTAAAATGGCTTGGTTGCCGAAGAAGAGAAGACGAAGAACTTTAAAATGTCATAAAACTGAGCAGTTAGGATTACGTTTAAATAATAAAACTCCTTTAAGCAGCATTGCAAGATGACAAAGATATTTAAAAAAATAGTGAGGAATGAAGGCCACAATACAGATATACAAATTACCAAATTTTATTGACAAAAATGTTATGAAACCAATTTCTTCAATTAACGACTCTCAAACATTAATGACAAAAGACAATTGTATCGTCCGCTTTTACGGGTCAATTTGTAACTTTACATGAAGTTTTTTTATCGTTTAAGTTAATCGGTGATAGTTCAAGATTTCAGTTTTTTGCAGATTTTGTTAACTTTATTTCTAGTCTTGATTTTTGTAAAAATTACAAGGTTTAAACCTTGTATTATTGTTCATATATTTTAAATATTAGTTATTGGGTAAGTAAATTTAAGTGAAACTGTAAATAAAAACACAATGAGGCTAGTGTTAAGAAGTGTATATAAAAACTTTAATAATAATATATAATTTAAAACTTTATCCTAGCGTTTCAAAGTCTTATTAAATATACAGTCAACGGCACATCAAGCTATACACTTTTGTTTGAATGTCGTTTCCAGTAAATCATCACATACATTGCTCCGATCCCTAAGTAATTAACTAAGGCGCTTCTGTTATGAAAATAGGAAACACCGACAGTACCACAAACAGCTAATATTAAATAAATAAATAAATAACGCACACATTCAACGTAGCCCCGCACTAAGGAAACCCTGTGTCGCGGGTGCCATGGACACACACAGACAACCACAAATTACACCCAAACTCACGAGAGAAATAAATGTAAGCCTAAATAAATAAATGTAGGTATTGAATACATAGTTTCTACATTGACATGGCCGGGAATCGAACCCAGGACCTCAGAGATGGCGACACCAGGAAAACCCGTATGCAAGCCACTCGATCACAAAGGTCGTCAAATGTTGATGTTCTTGATGTGCTGCCGTCCGTCCATACTACAGGTTACACTGGGTTACACCTTTAAGGTGTAACCTAACATAATACATAACAAATAACGTAACAAATTCAACCTGATGTCACAGAAAATAACTAAGGGAAATAATGAAACAAGGAAAATAAACGTTTGTAAACAAATGTCAAACCACAGATATAATATATCTGTGCGGCAAACAAAAAACTTGCCGTAATAGTCTTTCGCTATGCAATAATAATAATGTGCCAGGCAACCACACCAATGACCTGGTCTCAAACTAGGGAATTCCTTGTACTATGAGCACCAACGGAATTTGCTCCATTATTTTTCGCTTCGCTTATTATAACTAATTTTGAGAAATTCTTCATCATTAGTTGATTGTATAACATTGTTTTTCGGTCTCTTCTAGTCGAACATTCATTCATCAAACATGGCAATAAATCATAACAATTCCACCAATGACATTACAAACTAAAATACTACAACATTCCCGCACAAGTTAACAATGAGAAGACAATACTGGTTGTATTGACTGTAAGTCAATGACTGGTTGACACTTCTTCATTCACAAGCGTCTTACCGAAAAGTAAAAAAGAAAAAAGCATAGCATGCTACATTAAACAAAATAAAAAAAATTAAAATCAGTAACCCTAGGCGCTGCTTTTTTCAAATAAACTTAAACGCTATGGAATAATACACTTTGAATCGAATTCGCATAACAATGACAGGCGCGTGGGGCAACCAGCGCTTTGCAACGCGAGTACATCGCGAGATTATACGAATGTGTGCGTCAGTACAGGATCAAATGTGATCCTGTGGGGAATCGAGGTTGTAATTTAACAGGTTAATTAACCAGAAAGGGTCATTGCAAAATTCTCCTGAAATCCTATTGTGTAAACATAATCTCATAAAAATGTATAATGTCTATAAGGCAATGAAACCTTCAACATAACCCAACTTGGCCAACACAGACTATAAAATAAATCGACTCCTCCAATGTTAAATTCACTATGAAGAAATCTCTTTATCATAGGTCAATGTTAATGATGACCGCAAACTGACACTGACACGAATTATAATGATGAAGACTCATGTTTCAAATGTATTCTGTGTCATATATTATAATTATAATGTCACCAAGTTACCTTAAGTGACGATCAGCAATAAAGCCAGCAACATAAGCACTGGGCACATGAAGTCAAGAGTTACAGTTACAGACTCTACAACGGGTATACGGATGTAGCAGATCCCCCAAAGGTGAAATCAGCAGGATGTACAATATTGTAGCCAGATCATCATACGTTATTTAGTCTAGTACACTTGGCAAAGATTTATGTTCGAGTATCGTAGCTGTGTGACGGTGTGACCTCCTTGATCGTCATCCCACCTTTTTATTTAAATTTCTTATTTTATTCTCACACTCGTTGAATTGTTCCATACTTTTGCCTCGCATTCGGATTTTGTTTCATTCCATAATCACTCCCTGCCCGGTCGCGGCAGAGAACACATCTTCTTGTTTTTTTTTTGAATCGTTTACCATTTTACTAAAAATGTACAATATACATTTTTAAGAACATAAGTATTGTTAAAACCGCAATAAATACTTATAAAACTGGATTTATTACCATTACCCTTTACCATTTTGAACTTTGAACTTTGAACTTTAAACTAACTAAGTAAGATATATGGAGGCTGCGGAGGCTACTACTCCATTCCATCCAACAGGACATAACGCCACAACCACCAGCAGCCCTCTTACGGCTGTCAGCCGATGTAGTCCAGTTTTTATTTAAATACCGAACACTACCCCACGAGTCAGCAAGGTTCTCTCTTCCCTGTTATTGGCATATCCTTGCCAGTTAACTGCCTCCGTGGCCGAATGGTTCCCATGCTGGATTGATACGCAGAGGTTCCGGGTTTGATTCACGGGCCGAGAGAAATATTTGTATGGCCTACATTTATTTCTCTCATGAGTTTGGGTGTAATTTGTGGTCTATGTGTGTGTCCATGGCACCCGCGATACTAGGTTTCCCTAGAGCGGGGCAATGAGTGTGTGCGTGTTATAATTATTATGTTATTAGTCCCTATGGAATTCGTTCAATTTATCTCTCCAATTCTTTTTAGTCATTCTCCGTTTCTTTTTCCATCTTCGAATATCAATGAATTTGATATTTTAGTTGTATGTAATTTATATTCGCAAAAACCGTGCAAAAGGGGAGAATCACTTTAAAAGCGACATCTTACTTTGATTTAGGATAGTATCAAGCTAAATGTTAGCGTAGTATTTTTCCGCGCTCCATCTGGATAAAAAAGAATGAACTAAAATGGAAGCAAGTGACTAGTTTTAGAAAGTTTAATAAGGCAACTAACTAAGAATTACGTTTTAGTTAATATAGATGCCGCTGTAAACGTTGTGAAATTATCTTTAAGTCAATGTTAAGCACCATTTTTTTTGCTCAGAATATGTTTCTCTCACGTAATTCTAGTACGAAATTTTATTGAAGTTAAGATCATAATTAATAATTCGAGGAACATCAACCACACACATTATTGCTGATCGTTATTTTCACAATCAATGGCTATTTATATTGTTACGTGAATATTTCGCAAAGCATGCATGTTACATTTTTCGTAATTATTTTATGTCCAAAACAGTGCTATAAGAAAGTGTGCTGTCTGCTTTAGTACATAACCAAAGGTAATGGTAAACAACCACATAACAAACACGACAATACACTTCCTAAATGTTGTGGACAATGATCGTTTCCGTTGATTCATTAGTTATGATCTCTTATGTAACAATTTAAGTGCACATACGGAGTTCGCTTGGGTAAAGTTTGGACTTAAGACAAGTCCATACTTATACATACTGAAAAATGTAGGAGATAGAGCGAGTATGGAGAGAACGTAAGCATCAGCAACACATTATGGAACATCAGCGTTTTTGGGATACTAATGCCATCAAAGCTAAAAATGAACATATTTTTTATTGTAAGTAAATAAATGTTTTTACTTATATAAACTTTACCTGGGTTTAGATAAGCTACAGCAAAAACTGTAACTCAAAAACTAGAACTGATGAAAAATCTACTTGTATATTTTAAATTAGTATATTACTGGTTGCCAGCAACCGCTAAAGTATTTCTAGGAACAGATGTTGTGTAAACCAGTGTTATTACTTATTAGTTTTATTTTTACTACGTGACGCGATAAAATTACAAGAAAGAAAGAAACTTGTGTTGGGACACATCGAAAATATACAGCCAATCAAATCCAGTCGAGAAATGGTTCGGCGGTAAATTTTATGTTACGTATTTTGAGCAACTTGAACAACAAGATCTTTGGCTTAATTGTTTATTTTTGGTGAATTTTTATCCATTGTGTATTATTAATGTACTATTATTTAGGAATGATCGTTTGCGTCTACTTCAACTCATCCAAAGAACAGAGCCCGATGTGGTTGTACAGCGAAAGTGTGATAAATACATAATCTCGTTATTGAAAATAAGGCCTATCTACGAGTGTTTTCATAATTTTTATATCATATTTCGTTTCGGAAATATAAAATCGATGAATGGTCTCGAACAACGAAATGTACAATGTCCTGAGAATACGGAATCTTGCACACAGGTCTTTGTTCTACGGACGAGTCGATTTTATGTTTTACCACTTCGCCACTATTCGTGTAGCGGACCCAATTAATGAATTATATGAATTTATTTCAAGCATTTCCGTTATGTTATATAACAATTATTTCAATATGTCATAGATAAGTCAGTGGACATACTTTAATATCGATTCTCGACTGATCGTGTCCCAGCACTGGTCTATTAAATGTTGTACTACTGTAATCAAACTAAATTTTATGGAGTATAAATACAGTTTGATTTGCCACAGAAAAAATTCCAAGTGACACTATCGGTAGTCAATTATGTATAACCAAACTTACTAAACTATCAGCACAAAGGGGCAGTCAAAGTCTTTTGTCAGTTGACAGATACTGTTAACCTCTGGGTCGCTTCTTAACCGGTGAGATAATGAGGAAGTGTAATTGTATGTAGGTAAGTAGGTTAAATAATACAAATATAATTATCCGACAACGTCTTTAAAGAAGTCGTTTAAAGTCGACAGAATAAATGATGTCATAGATATATATATGAAGTAGATAATGATGAGTGTTGTACAGATCATTAAGCATCCATGCTTCTTCCGTACGGTTGTGATGAGCATAAGGAAGCGACCGGTTTTTGTGTTTACTAAGCGCATAAGAAGGTGGGTTTTGAGGAGATTGTCGGATTTTCGTAAATTGAATATGAGTCTATTTGGAATGCTACTGTAGATAGTACATTTTTTTTAAACCCGGAATCCCTATAACACGAGTGCCATGGAC